TTAATTTGAAAACATTGATTTTTAACAAATAGGAACGTTAGTAGAATTCAGGTACGAATTAAATAAGGCCTTAATAGTTGCCAAGATTTAAACAAATTTAGAATTTGTTTGACCTTGTTTTCGCAACTTGATCATATTGACAAGAAGACCTAGAGGAACACACCTTGTCCGTAGCACATAGTATGCATAATAATTTTCAGTCGGACCGTGTACTTGGTACATTCACAGATGTTTCCTGGCATCGTCAGTAAGCCTTGAAATTTTAGCACCACACTACAACTCATCAAAGACAAATCGAAGCGGTGATACGAGGATATAGGAGAAGTGAATATCGCAGAACAGTAAATATATCACAACTGTTTAACAGACAATTGGACAAAGGATCGACTTCAATTGTCTCTGACGAGTTGTGGTGTTATGCCAAGAATGGCAATGATCACTGACGATGCCGGCGAAGAAACTTTTATACAACGAAAGGAGACTGCGACCATACAAAAGGCCACACCATCCTGGTCTTCATACCTTTGATTAGACTAATTTAGTTTGATATTAAACCGAATATAAATATATATTGCAGGCAACAAAACTTGTGTGCCAAACTCACAAACGTTGTGGTTCAACAATGAACCTAATCAAAGCAAGCAGTACTATAACATTTGTGGGTTGGCACACAAGAGACTAGGGCATGGCATGTCATAGACTAGGTATTAGCGATAGAGACAGGCTAGACGCGGCGACAATTGGAGCTAGTTGGCTGACAGTAGGTTTTACAAGAGACGTGGTCCATGTAGCAAAGACATGACCATGAGACTTACTCAGAGCCTCGAATTAGTCATCCAGACGCAGGGGCGAATAACGCCTCGACTAGCACAGATGGGGGGCAGGGGTCGAGTGAAATACGTGTACCAGGGAGATAGCAGACGGATTATACGGGGCAAGAGGGAGACTCTGATAGGACCCAGGGAAGGAGGACTACGTAACAACATGACAGACTCTGGTCAACATTCCCAGCACAAGGATGAAGGGGGTGAGAAAGATAGTGTGATGTATGAATGATTTTAATGAATTTTGCTCTAAGGATCACACTACATTACATCGAAATAAGCACGGTAAAAAGTGTAACAGTGAAGGCGTGATAGGAGGATATAAGAAATGTGAATAGCCCAGGGCAGAAGGGGAGATACCATAACTGATTAGCACACGTTTTGTCAAAGAATGGGCATCACTTGTCTCTGACGAGCTGTACTATATTGCTAAGAATGGCGAGACTCACTGACGATGCCTGCGAAACGTCTGTGAAAGTACCACGTCCACGGTCCGACTTTGGAAATTATCATGCATACAATGGACTTCGGACCAGGTGTGTTCCTCTAAGTCTTCCTACCAATATGGCTAAGTTGCGAAAACAAGGTCACACAACTTCAATAATACTATTTGTCTATGGCGTTTTTCCTTCTTAATCTTGTATTTACTTAATGCCATTAAATTAAGTTTTTCTTCTTTGTACTAGTAACTTCTCGTGCTGATGGTTTGCTTTCATATGTCTCCTGCTTTAAGTGTAATTTGGGGATCATTTTATTAGTCTTAGAAGAACTAAAGGAGCCATCTTAACATAACAGCGTTTGAATTGGCAGAAGATACCCTATCTGTGCATTGGTTCGAACTTACTCAAATCGTAGGACTTAAATGTTAAATTCCAATCCGGTATTTTAACAAAATTGCATTTTGGTTTTATTCATGCTATCCTAGGCTTTTTTGTTCGCCCTTAACATTAATTCTTGGGTTCATTGAAAATTAATTTTAAATTCATTAACCTCTTTCTTAGTCATATATTTACCCATGTATTTCTAGGGCTGAGAATTTTTTTAGTTCATCACTTACTCATGTTGAAAACATCTTTTAGCTCTTACTGAGATTCGATTCGAATGCCTTTAAATTCTTTATTATTGGAACACCAATTTGTTGCAATTTTCGTTCTATTTAATTTCATAAATTTTTAAGCTTTAACTTTCATTCGATTTTAGAACTTCTCAAAAATTTAAGCAATATTTTTACTCTACCTATTTGCATGGCTTTGTTATATTACCTTCTTTTTTCGTAGCTTAATTGTAATTTTTTGTACTATTAGTTTTGTCATACCATAATTAATATCATTATAAGTCGTTGGGGATCAAATTAGCCAACTCTGAACGTATAAATACATTTCTACCTATTTCTACTTATACGGGGATATCATTTTAAAATTTACAATGTCTTCTTAAATGCTTGATATGTAACTATTAATTTATCAATTGATAATTTTTGTTTATCTAATTCATAATATCTCCTATTTTCTCATTAAAAATACGCAGTTCCTGATTGTCCCAATGAATCAGGATCTCAAATTGGACGTCATATGGCTGAAAATACTATGATTGCCAGTGACTATGAAAACCTTCACGACATTGATTATGATGATGTAGATGAACTAGACGATCTGGATGACGACGATGATGAACTTGACGTCAATGTTGATATTGAAAGTGTCGACCCAGATGACATAATTGAGAATTATCTTCCTACAACACTAACGGATTCTCTTGGCGAAGACAGAGTATATATTAATGTATTTTTGAATTATTCTATTTTAGTGTTGGTTCGACCTTGTTTTCGCAACATGGTCGGAGCGTCAGTGAGGCCTTGTGGAACGTACATAGTCCCGTGTCCTCTGCCATAGTATTTGTGATGTCCAGCATCGGACCATTGGCTGGATAAATTCCCAAACGTTCCGCCAGCATCGTATTCGCCATTACAAACACAGAGCTACAACTTATCAAAGCGACAAGTGAAGGCAATACCCTTGACCAATTTTCTGTTCAACCGTTGTGGCATCACTCGCTCATATTTTTTGTTCTTCCTTCTAGTGCCGCATCTCTTTCTCTCAACCTCACTTATATGGCCCATCCATTTATTCACACAATTCTGTGCTCTCGTTTCCTCCAATATCGCCTAAACGTGTGTCGCTACAAGTGGTTTATGCAAGCGTTATCATCTCCACAACCGGTATTAGGTGGACTTTGCAGGGCTCCTGGCCTAAATTCTGCATCACACACACACACCCTAAACATCAAAATCACTGTTTGGCTGTCTGAAATCTGGCTGCCTAAGAGCCTTCCACTCCCTTCGTCGATTACACGATATTCGAGGATTTTGAGCAGATGATAGGAATCTTCCTTTCCCAAGGCTTCAAACCCATGACTCGATTACACTCTCCCTCATCCTTACTTCCATTCTGTCATTCTTTGGAGGCCCGACGTCGGGCTTAAGTCATATCCGCTGGGGTAAGAATGCACCGCTTCCCTTTTATCCCTTAAATCGCGGAAAGCACACTCGTCTCTAGTTGATATTCCCATCTATTCCTAGGGTTATGGGATGATGTCCCTCTGTGTGTTTTGGTTGGTATCCCCCGTGGTCAAGCCTGTCATCAATCACTTCTCCTTCCGACACAGAAGCTTACAACTCAATTATTCTGAGTTCTGGGAAGGCTTTCTCATATGTGTCTTCGAAACAGATGTCTTAAAGAAACAATACAAAGCAACATACAGATGGTGATGAACAGGTGGAAGGGCGGAGATTATGAAAGCAAAGCAAGAATAACAGAGGAAAAACTATGGATATGTCTATCCTCCTGCGAAATGGCTCGGAAGCTACTGCCAATATTAGGGAAATGGAACATTCGTTCAACCCTGAAGGAAAAAAGAACCCCCTTTACAAGTTTGCCAACACACCATGAAGGAATCAACAAAATGGAGTGCTCCAGAGTTTACAGCATATACTGCAAGGTCTGTGAACCAAAATACATCGGAGAGACGAGAATGACAATCAGCCCAATGATCAAAGAACACTAGCGACTATGCAGAATAATCGAAGATAGCTGAACACATCGCCGTTACCGGCCACACATGTGATTGAAATACAACGAAAAGACTGGTCTCATATGGGGAAAACACCAGGAAACGAAAGATCAGGGAGGCTGTGGACATTTCTTTCAAAGAAACCTGATGAACAGGAGATTGGAAGAGAGAAGAATCAGCGATAATTTCGCGAACTGCCTGATCAGACTCTGGGATTCAATGAGGATATCAAAAAGAAGACGCTCGGACCCGGGACAACAACAGAAAGAGACATCACCAAAAGGCGACTCATGAGGAACAAAGGGAAGTCAAGAAAACTCGACTTCATTGAGAGGTTTCAGACGTGGAATTGGCTAAAAAGATATACCCAGGGGTTCAACTGTGAAATGTTATGAAATTAAAGGCTAAAGGTATAGGTAGGCTAGATAGATGTCATCAGTGTATGTGCGTAAGTGTCGTGTCTATTTTTTCGTATCTGTGTCTGAATGGGAGGTGACTGATGATAGGCTTGACCATGGGGGATATAAACCAACACGCACACACATTTGAACATCATCCCACTACCCTAGGATTATATGGGAATCTCAACTTGAGAGACGAGGGTAATGTGTTTTTTGCTATTTAAAGGAGAAAAATGGAACCGATGCATTCTCACACCATTTACTGACATGTGCATAAGCATAGAAA